TATCTATCTATCTATCTATCTATCTATCTATCTATCTATCTATCTATCTATCTATCTATCTATCTATCTATCTATCTATCTATCTATCTCTCTATCTATCTATCTATCTATCTATCTATCTATCTATCTATCTATCTATCTATCTATCTATCTATCTATCTATCTATCTATCTATCTCTATTTCACTCGTATATATGGGCTGCTGTCCGCCCTGACCGCTTACGCGCGCGTTATCTCTCAATCTCTGCCCTCTGGCCCTTTCGTGCCCTAACTCGCCATTTCTTTCGCTTTTTCTCGTTTTTCCCTTATCTGTCTCGCACTCTCTCGCGCTCTCTCTCTCTTTCTTTCTCTCTCTCTCTCTCTCTCTCTCATCCTCTATTGCACCAATCTAACTAGATTCTTATTCCAACGCGTCATTGTAATATCAGTGTACGTGATAGAGACGCGGCTAGATGGACGAACTGACGCGGTCGTACGGATGACTGAGCCGTTAGATGGCGAAAGATATTATTTCATGCACACATTCCTCGCATCTAGGACAAATATATATATATCACGAAAACAGGTCTATAACTCTATTTCACTACTGCGTTGGAACGCTAGTCATGAATGCAGCGCTCCTCCCTTTTCTCTTCCTCTCGTAACTCTATCGCAACCTTAATTGTGTCATCGTGCATGAGGGGTTCCGCAAATTGAGCAGCTGTAACTGTCACTGCGGAGGTTCCGCCACCTATTATCTTACTATAATATATATATGCCAGTAGTGTAATTCGAGCGCATCGTGCGCCGTGCGTACGGGTGCGAATACGTGCATGCGTGCATGAATGTATTTTATCTCGCCGCGCGCGCCACTTACCCCATTCCCGCGCGCTGCCTAAACATACGCCACGTGATATATGCGCGTAGAGTCACACTGCCTAATTATGACGTCGCACGCAACGCATGCGCGTCAATTTGCTCGTCGCGGTGATTGAAGGTGCCGGCTATATAGCCCTTGCGCTCACGCCACTGAAGATTTGCAGCGGGAGTGTATGCAATGCGCCGGGGGCCGTGATACAGCAGCTGTCGGCGTATTCTTAGACGCACGCAGGTTGGATGCACGCACACACGCACACGCACGCACACGCACGCACGCACGGAGCTGCATACAGATACAGGTGGATGGAATGTGTACGCGCTCTGAGATGCATACACGTACGGGGTTGCACAGACGGGAATGCACACCGCTGGGATGCACACCGCTGGGATGGACACCCGGGAATGCACACCGCTGGGATGCACACCGCTGAGATGGACACACGGGGATGCACACCGCTGGGATGCACACCGCTGTGGGATGCACACCGCTGAGATGGACACCGCTGGGATAGGCACACGGGAATGCACACCGCTGGGATGAACACCGCTGGGATAGGCACACGGGAATGCACACCGCTGGGATGCACACCGCTGAGATGGACACACGGGGATGCACACCGCTGGGATGGACACCGCTGGGATGGACAC